TTGTACTTGATGCTCCTCCCGCTAATTGTTCATCATGTTCCTTCGTTGCCAATTTATATGCGCTTTTCACAGTAAAACGACCAGATTTCTCCGGGAACCATGCAAGAAAGTCCACACGATTCCGCAGTGACGTCCATATCTTCAGAATCTGTTGCACGTCCACGTCCCAAAAGTACTCTTGCAAACGCTCAAAATTCCACCATGATCTTGCAGGAAGTCTGCAACTCGGTTAAATCGACAGTTTTCTTAGGGGTAATCGGCCTTTGGTCATATCCTCTTGGAATCCAAGGATCCTTCCACGTGTGCACCTGAGACCCATCGCCTATCCTCCAAATATTTCTTTTTTTCACCAATTGTAGTCCATACTCAATACCTTTCCAGACCGCTGACGAATTTCCTGAAAAAACCGTGCCCAATAGATTTCCATTAGGATAATATTTTGCCCGGAGCAGGCGAGCACATAAACGGTCTGGATTGTCGATCAACCTCCATGCCTGTTTAGGTAACATGGCCTGGTTAAACGCACGCATATCTCTGAACCCCATGCCTCCATGGACTTTGGAAGACGCATTTTATCCCAACTGAGTTAGGCCATCTTCCTCCTCCCTTTATCAATTGCCCACCAATATTGTCTCATCATACATGTCAGATCATCACATACCGGAGCAGGTAATTTGAAAACACTCATAACATAAGTGGAAATAGCCTGGGCAACCGATTTTATTAAAATTTCCTTGTTACCTGTAGACATGTACTGCTCACTCCAATCTACCAGCCTCTTCCTAAGGCTATCTTGGAGAGTTTCAAATCTCCCTTTATGCATCCTTCCTTCCAGCACAGGAAGACCCAAATACTTTGGTTCAAAAACTTCTTTTGTTATATCCAGAATTCTTTTAACCTCAGTAGCCACTTGCTCAGAACAATTATCAAAGAAAAGGATGAAACACTTTGAAATAATCCAAACTTGCCCCGTACATATGCATTGCTCCCCCCCTCCCCTCAGCACCACCACCTCCCAAAAAATAGCGTGTTTAACAAAATAAGAACATGAAAGACCAACACATTTTTGTTCGTGAAAACAATATAAAAGTAAAGCTGAATTATAAATGAATAAATTGTTTATCCATGTAGACTTCCAAGTCAGTCAAGCACTTCTTCGGACCGTACCATAGCAAGCTCTTTTATCATGCTCTCAAACAAAAGCAAGCTTCAGTGAACAATAAAGCTCCCTATTATGCACAGAAGAAAATATTTAGTTTAGGGGTAAAGGTCACATGAGTATAACTATGACTGGTATACAATTGCTTTGGCAGGTCAACCAAAAATATCTAGCTCTGCATTACTACTCTGAACGAGCATAAAATATTAGTATATCAATCGCTGAATACAGGATCGATAACAATAGACAAGAAAAATCAACCAAGTAAAGTCAACTTTCTTCTGGTAAATTTTGTGTAAGAACTACATGATTCATATCTGGTAATTAGCAGATAACTCTCTCTTTTTCCGAGAAGAGAACTGACATTTTAAAGTATACTTCCCGCAAAAAAAAACATTTTAAAGTATACATTTTGATACAACAGAATGCAAAATTCTTATTTAGTAGAAATAGGACATACCTTTACCATGCATGGATATAGCAAGAAAGTATCGTGTTCTCATTTGAATATTATTCGCTCCGGCGCACTTATGAAAGAACTGGTTACCGTGCATCATGAATGAAGCGTCCAAAACTGATTACCGTCTTTCTCTTCCGTCTGCCATTGAAGCCTGCAAATCGAGCCAGTACCAACAAGCAAGTAAGCAAGTAGGCTACAACCACAACAATCAAGCAAGTGGTTAGATTAGATCGCATGTTACAGCACAGGAAGTGAAACACGGGCTTCACAGATGCTTCATAGTAAAGGCAAAAAATAAAAGGAAAACGGGAAATAGTTTCCTGACATGATCTTACCTTAGCATGATCAGTCATCGTGGTTGTCAGGGAGAAGGCCATGCACGGCCAGCCACTCATGGAAAGCGTCAATGGCGCCCTCCTCCTAAACAAGTTTTTGACAACTCCATATAAATATATACGTCAACCAACTTATCTTCAATCACACTCAGAACTGCTCCCAAAAAGATTGTGATTGCCTCCCTAAACGTCTTCTCCTATTAAAGAGCAATCGTTTCTGTGGGGGATACACCACCAACCCAGAACACGTTTATCGCTGTGAGCCACAAGGCGGTCCTAGTCTACTGGTCACACTCTATGAGATAGGGTAATCTCTAGTAAGCTCATGAGAAGGTACGGAGTATGACTAATAAGCGCCACCCGTGGGGTTTAGCCTTCGGCAGCCACGTATCAGCTGACAATAGGCGAAACTTCTGCACGCCAAACTGACAATTCAAGGCATAGTCCATTGTTAAGTTGTGAAGAAGTCGAATCCTGTTGCTCTAGGTGGAAGTTCAACTTAACAGTCTCCACTGAAAATTCTGGTATATCAAACATTGTTTGGAATAGTTGACAAACTTATATGCCTCGAGATCTGGTGGGGGATTGTTGGATTATGGATGGGCTTAGGCCGATATCAGACACTAATCCCTGATTAATCTTGAGGCCCATGTATGAGATGGCAGGTGGTGAGAAGTTTAGTCCCACCTTGCTAGTTGAGGAGAGCTGAGACCCCTTTATAAGGGCTGCTCTACCACTTGCCATTGGGAGCTTGGGAAGAGGAGTGGTACACGCGCGCTCCTTCTTCTCCGTCGCCGCCCGACTCTCCTCGACGCGACGCGGGTTGCGGAAATGAGCCGAGCCGAGCGGGTGTGCGACCCGAGTGCGTCGACTCGGTCGTGGGCCTCCGCCTAAGAAGGCTCTGGCCAGTGGAGTGACCTAGTTCGGTTCACTCACCCCCTCTCGCGTAACCTAGCCATCATCTACTGTTCCTCACTCTGTGCTGTATCCGGCGACCCCATCCTGACGACCGCGTGCACAACTGGTTGGGAGAGTAGGTGCCTCTGGAACCCTGTCGTTCGAGATCCTGCCCGGGAGAACGGCATAAGGTTTTTGGGAAGCGTCTCGACGCGACTGCTCCCGATCCGTCCCTAGCTCCGCTGCCTCTGCTTCCACTACTACCTCTGCATCGACACCATGACCGCCGCCGCCGCCGCTAAGAAGAAGGCCACAAACGCCGCCGAGGCTGCTGCTGCGGCAGCCGCGTTGGCCTGGCCAACCGGAGGGTATGATCTGTTCATCCCTCGTTTACTCGTACTTGTACTAGTCGTATATGTCCTGCTCATAGATGGTTCGCTTCTATGTTCTATATGTGCTAGTATGCTTAGGTATAGCTATGAGATGCACACGTTTTATGCCATGCTTACTGTTTACTCGTGGATTAGTCTAATCGGAAAAGTGCTAATATTTCCAACAAAGAGAACGTAAGGTTCCTGTTTCTCCTTTCTTTCCACCACCTCTTCGTTCAACCTTCCCCATATGATAATCAATCATCTTACTTTACTTATCTTTTGAACCAATTTCATTTTAATTTACTTACCAAAATTCTAATCAAAACATAAGGTAAATCACGGACATGATTGATAAAGCTTTATTTACACAATCACATTAATATGGGTGGGTATATCACAAGCTAACGCGCTAGAATATTTATATCCCGTTGCAACACATGGACATTGTCCTATTCTTTTAAATCTCTATCTCTATCTATACTACTTAAAAAGAACGTAAAGTTCCTGTTTCTCCTTTCTTCTCACCACCTATTCATTCAACCTTCCCCATATGATAATCAACCACCTTGATTTACTTATCTTCTGAACCAATTCCAATTTAATTTATTTACCAAACTTCACATCAAAACCTAAGGTAAATCAAAGGCAGGATTTGATAAACCTTTATTTACACAATCACATTAATATGGGTGTGTAAATCACAAGCTAACGTGCTAGAATATTTATATCCCGTTGCAGCACATGAACATTGTCCTATTTTTAAAATCTCTATCTCTACTACTTAAAAAGAATGTAAAATTCCAGTTTCACATTTCTTCCCACCACCTTTTTGTCCAATCTTTCACATATAATAATCAATCACCTTGATTTACTTACCTTCTAAACCAATTTCACTTTAATTTACTAACCAAACGTCTCATGAAAACATAAGGTAAATCACGGGCGGGATTTGATAAACATTTGTTTACACAATCACATTAATATGAACATGCAAATCACAAGCTAATATACTAGACTATTTATATCACATTGCAACACACATGCATTGTCCTATTTTAGAAAAAAATAAGAAAAGAAGAGTGTTCCTTTTCCTGCCAGGCGGAGTGTTTCGTCCAACATTCCATATTTTTCCTGATGATCATTCCTTGAAAACCTTCTTAATTGTCTCATCTTTTATTTACTTACCAAATAAACTATATTCTACTTCCTCCGTTCTTAAATATAACACCTTTTAGAGATTTCACTACAAAGCAAAATGAGTATTTAGAAATGGAGGGAGTATTTTTTTTTGAAACTAATGGAGGGAGTATTTCACAAGTCAATGAGTGATTATTTAAATTAAAAATGAACAACATTCCTTTTCCTGCCAGGCAGAGTGTCTCATCTTTTATGGACTTACCAAATAAACTATATTCTATTTGGCAAGTCAATAAGTGATTGCAAAAAAATCATGAAAGAATTTGGTAATATTTATTTACACAATCATATAATACGGAATTATGGCCGTATTAGAATATTTATACACCGTAGCAACCCACGGGCAAATACCTAGTATTTAGAAACGGATGGAGTACATGCTAACTTTAAGCTGTAGACGGCACACTCAGACAAAACACAAAACAAAGACCCATTCGTCTCTCTGAGACCATAGAGATGAACACATATCGGGACAAGTACATTATTATCCAAGGGGGGATTTCAAACTTCTATTTTGTCGTTTGCTTCTCAAGCACCAAATCAGCGAGACACATTGATGAATGATGAGAGGCGGCGATCTACTGGTCCATCCTCATGATGCAGCGCAGGCCCTCCCCCTTGAGCATGAGGTCGAACGCCGTGTTGATTTCCGAGAAGGGCACACTATGTGTGATGAACTTCTCCAGGTCCAGCTCCTTCCTCATGTACATCTCCACGACTTTGGGGAGGTCGGTGCGTGGCTTGTAGTTGCCGAACAAGGTGCCTTTCAAGGTCTTCTCGTTGAGGAAGTTCACTGGGTGGGTCTTGAACACCGCCTCCTTGTGCGGCACGCCCACCAGCACAGCCACGCCCCACCCCTGCATCCACCAGATTGCAACATTCAGTCTAAACTCTTCTAAAGCAGAACCTGTGATTTGGAGTACATAATTTATTGAGGTAAATACATCACTGGTGCTTGAACTTGCCAGGAATGTGCACTTTAATGCCTGAACTTGCAAAATACATTGAACTGGTTCCCTAACTTGGCATAGACGTGCATATACGGTTCAAATTCGTTTCTATATGTCCGCGACGCTGACAATCGCGCCATCATGGCATGGGACTCACTGTCAGGGACAGGGTGTGTGGCCTGGTTTTTTTAGGAGAACCCTCTAGAATACTTTTTCCTTGCAAAGATAAATTATAAAAAATATATTAATAATTAAAAATGCGTACGGGGTTCAAGACAACAACCTGACACGCACAGGTGAGTGTGGCTAGCCAGTATGCCGGCTCAAATTTAGCATCATAAAAGGATTCATACAGTATACATATATAAAGCTGAACAACATAAATTTAAAAATTTATTCGAGCAATATAGCCCTGTTTATTTGAACCTACAACCAGGGGCTATAGAGCCGACGCACATACCACTCCAACTGACAACATCTAATGGTAAAAATGATAAATTTAGGTTTATAACATAACAAGCCCCTCTCACTAAATTAGACCATGGCGTGGCTCAGTTTTTTTATTTCAAAATTTTGTAAAAATTACGTAAAGTATAATCATTTGTTACAAACAATAGACATATATTTAAAACAAATTACATTAAAAATTTCATATAATTACATAAAATACCAATGCAATAATTTAACAAAAATACACATAATAAAATTATGAATTAAGATTATATCTTATAATTTGAAAAAAATGTTTGCCTTTTAATAAAATATTATATTGGTTTTACAAATGTTCATATATGTAAATAAATTCTCATATAATTTTAAAGTTTCCACATTCTGAAAAAAATATTCACGTAGTATATAAATGTGTTAAATGCTTTAAGTAAAAACTGTGTGTTTTCTAAAAAAAAATACAAGCCTAGTGCGCCCTTAGATTGCGGATCCTCATATGAATAATACTTGAATCATATAAACATGTTTATCATTCATAAATATTTTCAATTGAATGAGCATGTCTTAAAATAACATGTGATTTTTTAATGACATGAAGATTTTTGCATTCTTTTGAAATTATGTTTGTTAGACAGTCATATAGATTACTTGTACTTTTGATACATGAGAACTCATTGGTTGGAATGACATCTGTACCTGGTCTATAAGCTTTGGTCGGATGTTCGAGTCATATAGTTGGTACTATTTTTGCTGGTTCATTAAATTTCTTTTATTTATACTTCGCAAAAATCCCTTTATTTATGTTGTTCCGCCTAGTTTATAAAGGTTATGAATCATCATGAAGCAGCAAATGTGAAGTGGTCTATTGGCTAGCCCAGCATGCACTTGACTAGTAGGTCGCCCTTTCTAACCACCACGGCGCTAGTTTTTATTATTTTATAATTATAGTATGAAAAATAATTGTAGCGCAAGGTTATGAATCATCATGAAGCAAAAAATTTGTCAGTTTTTCTATAAGGGCCTTATTGTATGAAAAATAATTTTGCAGGGGTTTTTGCAAAAGAAAAAAAAACAGGCCACACACCCTTGTCTCCATTGTCCAGTCATTGACAACGGGTGCCATGCCATGTTGGCACGCCTCATCAGCGTCGCGGACGTATACAAACGTCATTTGAACCGTATATGCACGTCCATGCCAAGTTATGGAATCAGTTCAATGTATTTTACAAGTTCAGGCACTAAACTGCACATCCATAGCAAGTTCAAGCATCACTGGTGTATTTACCTCTAATTTATTTATAGTAGGTATAGTGCGAGCTACGTACATCATGGACACATTCGAAGGCGGCGATCATGGCGTCGATGTCGCCAGTGCACTCAACCGCGCGGTCGACTCCGCCATTGGTCATCTCGACAAGCACCTGGAGAGCATCATTGCACAGTGAGTCTTATCATATCTGAAGATTGAACCAAGGGAAAAATATTTACCGAGGGACATGAACAGACCTCTTGCACGGGCTTAGTGTGGTCCTTTGGGTTCACAAAGTCTGTGCATCCAAATTCCTTAGCTAAAAAATAATGTAGTACATCATGTTGTTAGGTTCAGTGTTCTATCAATCCAAAAACATTAGCCAAGACATCCTTGTTTTCAGACTATTGTACCGTGTTCGTATTTTGCAGGGTTCAAATCCACACCAATGATCCTTGATGCACCAGCCATCCTGGCCCCTTCCATGGCCTGCTCATGTGAAAAGCATACAGTCATTATTAATGGCTATAGCGCATAATTCTCTTCAGCCTGTAAAAATATGTCGTGGAAGATTAACATCTTGGAACGTTACTCACAGCAAGTCCTACAGCTCCAAGACCGAAAATCGCCACCGTGGAACCCTTTTTTGGTTTTGCGACATTGAGCGTGGCGCCAAGTCCTGAAGAGAAAATGAACTCAGCAACTAATCGAGGCATCCTAAACCATTGTGCTTGATTTGGAAAAATGGCATGACAAGCTATTATATCAGTCTTACCAGTAGAGATGCCACAACTGAGAACACAAACTTTGTCGAGGGGCGCCTCGGGGTTGATCTTCGCGAGGCAACCGACATGGATGACGATGTACTCGCTGAAGGTGGAGGTCCCGGCAAAGTGGAAAATCGGCTTCCCGTTGATGGTGAAGCGAGACTGCCCATCGCCGATCATCACGCCACGATCCACGGGCCTGAGGAGATCACAAAGGTTGCTCTCCTCTGACTTGCAGTGGGCACAGTCCTTACACTCGCCGGTGAACACCGGGAGGACATGGTCACCCGGCACAAGCTCAATCACGCCTTCTCCGACGCTCTCAACGATGCTGCGACAAAGAAGCTACTTGGTGAAAAGAGATGCCAGAAAAGATAAACTATGAAGATCAGTGTTGAGGATGACTATAATTACTTAATTAGAAGGCAGAGAGAATAAACTACGTATGATTTATGATTTAAGATTCTTCCTCCAACCTACGAAACTGAAACAGAACAAGACAGAGACACAGAGGATGCATATATACCCTCCAGCTGGTTAAAAATAGATGTCTTCTTAGCAAGTGGCTATACATAATATCTACTGAGCCCATCGGTATTGGATACAAATCTTACGGAATAAATACTTACACTCTAAGACTTTGGCCCAAGTCACCGCTAGGCCAAAGGACTCACCATTCTAGGAGGGATTAATAAGGACGAAAGCAACTTTTTTCTAACGAGTGAATTTCCTAGCTGGTAATGGTAATACTACTTGATTTTGGGAGGATACATGGCTAGGCACTAGTAGAAAACGGGCCTTTAGTCCCGGTTCCGGAACCGGGACTAAAGCCCAAATCCTTTAGTCCCGGTTTGCTTATGAACCGGGACTAAAGGAGCTCCACGTGGCCGATTTATGAAGCTCCACCTTACGGTTGGTAACACCAACCGGGATTAAAGGATTTTTTTTTTCAAAATTTGTTTTTCTGAATTTTTTTGATTTTCAAATTTCTGAATTATTTTCAAATTTAATCTCCAATCACCCTCATCACCACTGAAGTATGTACCACTCATTCCAAATCATCTAACTTCCCGGCTGGTCATCCATCCTCACATTACCCCAGTCTAAGCACGCTTAACTTTCGAGTTTTATTCTCCCTAGTTTCCAAGTCTGCACTTGCTGTTTTCCTGACAATAGTAAGCTGTCAATCCTATTAGTCCTTAGGAGTTGAACTTGAGCATGAAGCACCGTTTGAGTTTGAAACTATTATTCTAAAAAACAATAATTCATTAGTAACACTAATATTTCTTGAATAAGTAGTTCGACCATAGTTTGACCATAGCTTGATAAAAAATTCAAAAAAACTTAAATTTAAGGATAACTTTTTTTCCTTTCAGAATTTGAGAATTCTAAAAATTTGCAAAACGGGCTATGGCGGTCGAAATCGGAAAAGGATTTTCGTGCTGAACATTTTGACATCGTATGCAAAAGTTATAGCCGTTTTACTTTTTCATAACACTTTTTTGCAAAACATGTCGAAGTTTATGCTTTTTAATTTTCCTAACTAGTAGATATAGTAACATAACTACATCTCGAATGATTTTTTTTGAAGTTTTTATCATTTCTTTTATTTTTTTCAAAACTG